TTAGACAGCAGGATTAGGCAAAAACTACAGATTAACACAAAACTTGGAGGAAGAATGCTGCATTGATCAGGGAAAGAACATAAAATGTGGGTGTGGATCAAGGATTTTTATTTTCTATGAATGTGGGCAATTTGTTGCAGCTTGACCGAATTCATGGCTCTATGAGTGTCACTCTAGTTTTGCTCTGAAATTAGATTCCTCACATCAATTTATTTCATTTATTATTCAGCAATATAACAGTTCAAAGAACAAGGTGCTGATGTGAAACAACTGTTCTAAGATACAGGTCTGTTGTCAACGTGATGCTCTGACTTCAGCTCTGGTCCTGATGCTGCTGAACCGACTGCATTCCAGCTTCTGCCAGTGACCTTAAAAACGTCACTCATGATGAAAGAGGTCAGATGTTTATGGGAGTCGGATTATGAGTTTAGTTACTATTTAATATATATATATGCGGGTTTTTGTACAGTTCGTTGTTTTCTACCTGAAGTATTTATATTCCCGGTTTTTGTGTGATAGAAAAAAAAATCATTTGACATTCCGGAAGCGGAGAAATAGGAGGGATCTGTCTGGACCTGCTGAATCAAGCTGGACATACACAACCGAGTTATGGCAGGAAGTAAAACATGTAAAGCCTACAAAGTAAAACAAGCTATTTAAAATCATCTGTTTCATACAGTATTAAGGGTTTTAACATGCAGCTCGTGTGTGTATTTACGTTTTGTTTTTGCTTTTCGATTCAATTTTATGTTATCAAGAGCTTTGAATTATGACCCACTTTGATATGTGGCTCAGTCAGCGGCAGAGGTGGGATTTTAATAAATCAGGGGCCATAGAGGGGACACAATTTCTACAGAGGGGCCATTTATATTATCTGATTCAGTCAGGTGCACATTTAAGTCTTTCCTTGTTTACTGGAGGCTTTATATCTTTGAGCAAACCTGCACATCTTTTTGAAAATTGTTCTGTGTTTACATTGTGTACTTAAAAAAAACCCTTAGAAGATAAAAATGATTAAGAAATTATCATATTATTGTTAGTTAGTGACTATGTATTGATTAATGTCAAAAGACAGTTGACAGGGACAGGGACAGTTCAGGTCTGTGGTTTCTGTAGCCTCGACATTCAAATTCGAAAACTTTGAAAGATGGAAAGGGGTGGTTTTACTGTGAAGTTTCTAACCGGAAGTGTAGTGTTTGCTCGAGTAACGGCGAGTGTGCGTGTGAGTGAGTGTGTGAGTGAGTGTGTACGTGTACGTGTATGTGTGTATGTGTATGCGTGTGGTGTCACTGTCGGAAAACACAGGGGTGAAAACGGGACTCCAGCACCCGACACCTGAGCCGGATCCAGGGGGAAGGGAGGGGAGACGACACCGGTTCATGCTGCTCGGTCTCTGCCCGCCCCGGTGACATGGATGTCGGACTCGGGCTGTGAGCTCCTGCGGCGGGGCTGAAGGTGAGCGCTCCGCCGCCCGGTGCCGTTGCTCCGACATGCCGCTTGTTCTTCATTTATTCCTCCTGCTGGAACAGGTGCATGTCAGCAGGGAGGACACGTTCCTCCGGTTAAAAACAAACTTTTAAGTTGCTGCGGAAACGTGGACGTGTAAACTAGCAAGAGATGTGGGCCGAGCTCGCTGGCAGAGGCAGCCGGACTGAAATATTCATGTCCGGGATGGTACAGGGAGAGTCCCCCCGGGCTGCTCCGGACACAAACACCACGGCGAATGTTATCAGCGTGGGCCTGTGTGTGAATAATGCTGCGGTGGCAGAAGCCTGGTGCCATCCTCCCCTCTGTCATCCTGCTGTCAGGCGGATGCTGGCTGTCAGAGCCGGTGTGGAGAGAACTGATGGAGCCCCAGACATCACGGCACGCCTCAGCTCCACAGCCCATACGATTACAATTACTATTACAGTTACTACTGAGGGTAAAGAAGGTTTGGGGCTCACCTGTATTCTCAGTATTCCCTGACTAAACAGAGAAACATCAACCTCCTGTGCAGTGTAATGGAGTTTAATACAAACTGTTTTATCATCTATGTTAAGCTCCGAACCTTAAAGCAACGCTATGTAACTTTTTCTTCGAGCAACAGCGCCCTCTGCAGCCATACGTGGTGATTAAAGATGCTTGCAGACATGACCCCCGGATAATTAAGCTGATGTGGGACACGCACGTGACTCCGCAGATCCTTCAAATTTTCCCTTTGAACGCAAATGTCCAAGTGAGAGTCTTTCTCGGCCTGGCCCCCTTGTAGAAGGTCCATAGAAAGTCAGGAGAGTCCGATGTGAGAATGCAGAAGCAGCGGGCTTCGCCGTTAGCGAGTGGGGGGTTGATGATGCTTTTAACACGCGGCAGATGCAACATTAAAAAAAAACACAAATTTGATGCTGTTGTGAATGCATCTGTGCAGAGAACCTCCCGCTGCATTGTGCATGTGTAAAAAGCAAAGTCCGGACTCAATTCTCCGGACTTTACAACAGGTCACGCCTGAAAACGGCTTTAGAAATCGGCATCTCAATGACTCCATCGCTAACTTCTGGCTATCGTCTCTGCTTCAGTGGTGTGTGCCTCTACGTTGTGTGAAGACCTCGCTCACACGCAGTGAGAACTTGGGCAAGGTGCGTACCGCACAAGCATGCAGGTCAGCCAGTGACAGACAGGTACGCCAGCAAATGTTTTCATTGGTTGTGTTTATTAAGCTCTAAATCAAGAGAATCGGGCCTGCACTCTCCCTGTCGGTTGCCAATACAGATATTGACATATGAACGAACTTGTGAGGTCTCTTTGGAAGACAGATTCTGTTGTGCTGTTACTGTTGAAATAGCCTCAAGCATATTTCTTACTACTCACCAGCTGACATACAGTTGCTTTGCAACAACTCCAGACACAAAAGAGAGGTTGTTTTCAGAAATAATACTGTGAATAGATTTTATTGTGCGGTAAACAGAACCCCCCCCCCCCCAAAATGAAAACAGTATTTGCCCTGTGGCCTTAAAGCAGCACCAGTACTCCTTGGTACACTTGCACACAGTGTCTAAAGGTTCTTGTGCCAGGTTATGTTGTAGAAGGTGCTACACACTGGTTGTGGGTAGAGAGCATAGACTGTATATAAAGATGGACGATGCACCGCTGCTTCCTTCCACTACACAGAAATGAAGCCAAAATATCCTGTTTACTAATGCCTCCATCTTGCATATTTGGAGCCAGAGTATGCGCAGTACAGATCGGAGGGGTGGAGCCACAGTAAGGAGGTCCCGCCGATCCACACACGACCAATCGTGAGTCAGTCTCAGCTGTCAATCATGAAATTTCACCACGTTTTTATAGCATTAAATAATTAAATATAACCAAACTTATCAGAAACATGATCAGCTGAAGAATGACCTATTCTGACAGCAAGAAAAATTAGGAATTTGAAAAAATGTTTTTGACTGTTTAGTTTGATCCATATCCCATCCACAAACATGGAGGAGGCAGGATTTATGCTCTATACTGCAGCCAACCACCAGATGGCGATTGAAATGCTGTGGCTTCACTTTTGAGGAGCTGTCATGTTGTTCATGTTTATAAAAAGTCTATCCATTTCCCATTGAAGGTCCCATTATGATTTGGAGCAGATCTGGATAAACAGGCTGATCCAGGAATTTTTTCATGACTCTCCGAGCTCTCTTCAGCAAGTTTTACAAGTTCTGTGAGTGTAGAATCGTCACAAATTTAAACACAATTCAACACTTTTTTGTTGCCAGAAGTTTGTTATCACCTTTTTCCATAAAAAAAATCCCCAATAATTATCTGTAGATGTATCTGTAGCTTTAGCTTAGCTTTAAATATGCACACACAACCCCACTGAATCACCTATGAAGTTTCATTGTGCAGACCTTGTTTTTCATGCTTCTTTGTAGCAGTTCTCTCTTCAAGCCCCAGGCTTGTTAGTATACAGTGCAGATAAAAAGGAGTGGGTGTGTGTCTGCATTGGCTCAACTATCCAAATGTCACCTGACAACTTAATTAACATAGCCCAGAGGTGAGAAGCTGAGACCCTAGAACCTTGTGGCTTCTATTCTTTGAGCCAAATTTCCACGGTGCAGGTCTCAGGTTTCTAATAAAAGTCTTTCATTTTGGCAGGCGATCTGTTAGAAGTTTGTGAAAAATGTGGAGTATTCTGTGGGTCACAGTGGTATTAGGCAGAGTTTCGGATGGTGTGTCAGGCCGAAAGGATGTGAACCGTTTGGTAAAAGAGCGAAAGGTCAGAGAATAGAGGCCGTGTGCGAGCACACTGAGGTGTTGACAGCATAAAAGATGAAGCAAGGAGAAAGGAGTGAGAGGAGTCTGTCCTTTAACAGCCCGCATGAAGGAGGCATATCAAACTGGCCCGGCTCACCCTCTAATCACACACAGACCAAAATAACCGCAGGATAGTAGCAGTTATTGTTGTTGTGAGTCGTGTTGTAAATGCCAGCCTGTCATCCTGCACATGATGTTTGGGTAGCATATTCAGTTTGTGTGTATCTGGAAGGAAGAGACACCTTGTCAGTCCATCCTGGGTTATTAAAGCGGTTCAGTCGGGTGCCTGAAGGAGTTGGCATATGCAAATAGCCCAGTGGATGTTAATATTCAGTAGTTCAGTCTAATGTTGAGGCTTGCTGTTTTAGATAACTAGGTGTTTTTTATTGAATTTGATATTTATATGTGCGTCCATATGGTGTCGGAATAACTGGAAAAATGAGTTCCCAATTGGTAAAATTCATGTGAATGTCGTCTCAAGTCGGAACAACAAACTTAATCTCCATCTCTCACAAGCACCTGACACCAGACTATGATACAGACAATTTTTATAATTAACATGCACACGTTTTAAATGATGCCTGTCACAAGTAATCCTTTGCCTTTGCTTTTTGTTATTGGAAAGATTTGTCACGTTGATCTTAAAATGCTCTACACATAAACACAACACATGTTTGTAGCTTAGTTTTATTGTACACAACAAAGTTGGTCAGACAAAACAAGATATTTTAAAAACATCACCTTTTTAAATCCTTTTTTGATATTTTATAGACTAAACAAGACTTTTCATTGAAAGAGGGTCATAATAACTGTTTGTTAAGATGATTGGCAACTGCAATAAAACACCAGCCCCTATTTAAATGTGAAGCATAAACTGTAAGACTCTGACCAAAGAATAAGCATCCACTATCACATTTTTTGAAAAGAAGGCCAAATGATGACAACCTCTAAGTTCCCTCTCCTAGGTCCTGTCTGCACTTTGTGCCAGCAGCCCTCCTGTCTGGGCCCTGGCATCAGGAAATGGGGTGCCTGCTTAATCAGGCAGAGGTAAACATGCCCTGTGAGGGGAAAAGGAGGGAACATTCCTCAGACGGAATGGGGAGTATGTGACAGAGTGTTCAGCCAACATGAGAGCAAGGTTACACACACGGAGTAGGTCCAAAGATACAAATGCACATGTCAAAACAAGAGAAGGAAAATGAATCAATGGGTTCTCCTGTATTTAAAGGTTGTCAGACAGAAACCAAAAAAATGATGTTTGATTTGCTTTTAGTGTCCTTTGAGCCTGAAAAGTAAGAACCTCTTCAAAGCAGATGGTTGACAGTGCACCACGCTGCAGCATCAAAGAGCTGCTTCACTTTTTGCTCAACGTGAAGTGTGTCTCAGACAAGTGAAACACTGGTGGTGTGACATGCTGATCCCAGTTCACCACTGATGTTGACTACATCTGTTGGCTTCTGATAACAGCAAGGAATTTCACACTGATGGAGTCAAGTGTGTTTGCTTTACACAAGTCTTTATTTACATAGCTGGTACGTGTTTGTGTTGTGTGTGTGTGTTATGTACTAAAGGAGGGACATGTTTATACATTAGTACACTATCCACAGAACGTGTGAATGTGAGTGTGGTCCAGGTGAGTGCATCAGAAATGTGGCACAGGGAAATGCAGGTACAGAGCAGAGGGGATTGTGGGGTGTAAGCGCTGCAGTAAGGACACTGCAGTAAGTTCAAGCACAAAGGTGAGAAAGGAGGTGAAGTGTAGGTGACGGTCTGTGCAGCCTTATAGTGCCACGCTTTGTCTTTTTTATCTGACTCATGTTTTTTTTCTCTCTTATATCATCCTCTCTTCCTGCTCTTTATCTCTCCCATGACATTTCCATCCTGGACACTGTCCTCCCCTCCTCTTCTTCCCAAAACTCCCCCCTCCTACTCAACACTCAGAGGATGGGCCCAGTGTCCCCCTGCCTGAGGAGATGTCTCTGGGTCGGCTCCTGCGGCGCGCCTCCTCCAAGGCCTCGGACCTCCTGACCTTTAACCCCGGGGCCGGGGGCTCATCTCTACGCTCGGGACTGGACGGCGAGATCATCTTCTCCAAAAATAATGTTTGTGTGCACCCTACGGAGCCCCTGCCTGGCCTGGCTGAGCACCACCCAGGTTAGGCCCAGACTGATGTTGAAACGTTTTTTCCTGCTGTTTTTCTTTGTGGTATAAACACAGCTGCTGATTCAGACCACAAGGAACAGGAGAACTGGACCAAACCGGAGATGACAAGTTACACTGCAGGGCATTTATCTCTTATATTTTCCAAAATCGAATGTAAGCTCTTTAATAGATAAGAGTGATAAAGGATATTTACAGTTGTCAGCAACTTTCAGGCTTTTATTTTCACTCACTTCAGCCACTATGTGCTGCTGCTATAAACATGAAATCTTTTCTTGTTCTACTAACACTTTTATAACGGAGAGTGAAATGATTTTACCCTGGTTTGTTTTTCCTCATTCACGGAAGTGAAAGAAGTACGATTCTGGCCTTGTGGTTTTTAAAAATGTGAGCGTGACTGGCCTGTGCTGCTAGATGACTATTATTATTCACCCTCACCAGTATGACAACTAACAGCATTTCCTCAATTTCTCATCCCGTACTTCCTGTGATTCTCCTCCTGTCTGAGCGTCGTTACTCACCCCTCAGGTTTCCCTCCATGTCGTCATCTCTCTGTGTGCTTATCTCTTCTTAGGTTTCATGTTTGTTAACTGCCTGCTACTTACCAAAACTTTTGTCCTCTCCTCTCCTGTGACCTGATTAATCCCAGCAGAACTCCTCCTCCTCAAGTAATGCTGGTTTATGTTGCCCCCTGCAGGCTACCTGTGTGTCCACGTGGAGAAGGATGAGAGCCTTGGCACCACTCTGATTCTGACCTGGGTGCCCAATTCCCGCATCCAGAAACAAGATGAGGAGGCGCTGCGCTACATCACACCCGAGAGCTCGCCTGTTCGCAGGAACGCACGCCACCGAGGCAGACGGTGGGGGATGCTGTTCCTTAGAATGTCTTTTAACAGATTATTTTAAGTCATAAATTTAGTTTGAAAGTTAAAATGCAGTTTTGTTTATTAGTTGATTGTGATGATGATCGTTATTAATATTTAAAAACGATGATCTCTGTGTCTGGTTCTTAAGTGTGAAGTCATTTTCAGCAATCAATGGACTAAAATAATCTCAGAGTAATAAGAAAAGTTGGGTTTTCTATGATGATCAACCAATCAAAAAATTATATTATTTTAAATTTTGTAAAATTATCCATATCAAGAAGTTATTATAATAATAATCAGTGAAACGCTTCACTAAACTGAAATTGATATCTGCATTATTCATGATAGTGATGTTGTGTTTTAAACCAACCATCTCCTCCAGACCCCACTCCCGTCACCCAGCAGCTCAGGAGGAAGATGAGGATGAAGAGAGGAATATAACCAGCAGCACCTCCACAGAGAGCCACAACCTGGTGGTGGAGGCCGGAGCGGACGCCTCCTCACACCAGCAGCAGCTGCCCTTGGCTGTGGAGGAGGGGGATGAGGGTTCCTGCGAGCTGTCGGATGAAGTGAGCAGGGACAGCACCATGGGTTCGGACTCAGATACCTTCTCCTCCCCCTTCTGCTTGTCCCCCGTCAGTGAGGCCCTCTGTGAAAGCAGCGGCTCCGTCTTCCTGGACAATGAAACCAGGTCAGTGAAAGGGTTGAAATGATCCATATTGTTCATACACTGCAGAGGTTAGTTAAGTCTTAATCATTCAGCAACAAAAACATTCATTAAAAAAGTGTTTTGAGGTCCTCCTGGGGAAATCTGTTCAAACAAGTATTGAAAAGTCAAAGGATTATCAAATAACTTGTCTAATTGTCTATAGAAGGAAAAAATACCAATTTAATTAACATTCTGTAAGATTTGTCAGTTTCTATTTGTTGAAAATATCTTGCTTTTGTTGGCCTGAATACAGTTTATTGTCTTTTGGGAGAATACACTGACTCCTGTTCATGATAAATGCACAAATATAGTTCTTTTCTCCTTTTCTCTTTTTTCTATCAACCATTCAAACCATACCCAAGTACACTTAGATATGTGGAGTGGAGCCGGGAATCAACCACCAATGAGTCGCTCTATCTCCTGAAATGATTGGAGTCTTCAGCCAGAGAGACATATACTGCTGAAGCAGAAACTATAGTTAAAAGTTAAAGAGCGAATCATGGAAAAGTCGACCTCCAGCAGTTGTCAGGCAGTGCACGTTCATGTGTTTTGTGGCTTTGAAGAGAGGCCTGATGGGATGTATCAGATGCATATTCTCAAATTGTAGCCTGCTCTTGCTAGTTTTTCCAGAATTACCAACCCAAGCTTTAATTAATGGCAGAGTCTCGGCGTTAGGCTCTTCTAAATCCATTTAATGTACTTGGTTACCTCCCACCACTGACTCCCCTATACTGAAAACTGTATCACAGGATCGAGTTGTTATAATAATAATCTAGTTTTCATCTGAGAAATTGTCAATAACATGTTTTAATAGTCGATTATTGCACAGTTACCCAGAATGTTCTTTGTTATCAATTAAGTGTTGTGTCTATTACTTTAACGTGCCACAAGGTGGAGCCAAAAAGAAAAGAATTGATTTCATGAGGATTCATTTACACTCTTTGGCCGCATGGTGGCTTCCTGCACCATGTGAAGAGCAGGTAGAAGGCTTCAGTAGTGGCTGTAACATGACTTCAAAGTGGGTTCACTTATTTAAAGCAGATTTCAATGCAAGTATTTTATAATGACGCAGGGGGAACAAAATATGTCCCCATATCCTACAAACCTCAGCACTTCCAGAGAGTGTTCTCTAATCAATGGAGCCATCTGGACAGTGACTGTGCTGCAGCACGGACCTTGCAGCCCTTTGACTTAATGATTCCCTCCTTGGTCGTTTCCTCACGCAGCTATTCGGCCTGACATGTTGCCCAGAATGTGTGAGCCTGTGTCGAGCAGAGAGAGGGAGAGAGAGTGAGAGAGAGAGAGTGAGTGTGTGTTTAACCACTCTCAGACCCCAGCCTGCTGTAAGTGCAGTCAGTGTGTGACTTGGCAACGCTCTGAGCTTCACAGCTTCTAACCTTTACTCTGTCCTTCTCTTCCTCCTCTCCCCTGTGCTTCACTCACTATTAGTGCCTCTCTTCAGCTCTCTGGCACTTACATCCATCCTCTTCTCTGCCAGTTTTTCCCTTCTTCTCCCCGTTTCTCCCTCGGCCTCCGTCCGTCCACTCCTTCCTCTCTCCATTTTGCATTTTTCTCTCGTGCTCATTCTCTCCCTTTTTCTCAATAATGTTTCTGTCTGTGTTGCCCACCTCTCAAATATCTTGCCCTCCTCCCCTTCCCTTCCTAAAGTCTGTGTGAAGCCCTTTGATTCCCAGTGCTCCCGGGGTTGTTGTGCTGGGCTGAATGTCAGCTCTCCGGATTAGAGGACTGAAGAGACCGGAGCAGCAGCCAAAACCCTGGAACCCACTCAATCTCTCTTTCTCTCTCTCTTGCTTTAATTGACACTGTTAAGGGGCCAGGAACTGGAAACATGTCACTTGGAATCACTCAAAGAGAAAGAGCCGCGTATGGGAGTGCGAGAGCGGATGAAAAGGGGGGGTGGGGGGTTGGGGGTGGGAGAGGCAGCGAAAAAGAGAAATCCACAGCAATCTCTGTCAAGCTTCTTAACGAGTTTCTTCAAAGTTCAACAGTAGTTTATTATGCCACTCTTGGTCGTCCATGTGTGCTGCTGTCTTTACATTTACATGAAATTATTCCACTGTGTTTTTGTTGTACAGGATTTAATTGCAAAAGATATAATGTCATATTTTGACACTGAGCAACAGAAAAAGACCTAAAAGTGATTAAAATTCAAACCTTTATCTTTGAATACACTGTATTTGAATGAAACTAACCCCTGACATGTATCATGAGATCCTGTGTGAGGGTCCTGACCGTCTTTCTGGAAATGAGCCTGACATGTAGAAAGTTCTGGAAAAGAGAACATCTGACTTGCTTGTACAGTATTTTGATTCTGTGGATGTTGGAACACTACACGAAGAATACATTTCTCCAAACTGTACTGACCACTTTCCGGTGTGTGCCAGCAGAGCCCGCTCAACCCCCTTCACCCGAGCCCTTCCTCGTCTCTCTGTTCCCTCCAGGGATTAGCCGAAGGGCCTGCGAGTCCCCAGAGGCCTGTCGCACTTGGTCCTGGTTCACAGGGTGACCTGGCAGCACCTTCCCCCTGGGGTAGAGCCTCCTTTATGTGGAGAGAGGTGTTATGAAGTGCCTTGGGGCAGTTTGATCCAGCCCTGGCCTGGTGGGACAGGAGCTTGACTTGTTTACATAATGTACTCTGTGTACAGTGTATGATGTGGCTCCTACCTCCATTTGCTGTCCACAGTACATGGATAGAATCAGACTGTTGACACTGACAGACGTTGTTAATCATTCATTGAGTTTCCGCTTGAATGCAGCACAGCGGGCGATCCATGCTTAAATGCCAAGAATAGTTTCTGACAGTTTTTCCAAGTTTTTTTTTCCTTTTATTTCAATGGGAAAAATGTTGTTGCATATGCACTTGAAGCACGCAAGAAGAATGAAGGAAACGTCAGCTGTAAATGGCCTCGTAGGCCTTTTAAACACCCTGAGCTTGACAGTCATAGGAGTCATGAAAAAGTGAGTACGGTAGTTCTCCACATTTCAGGTTGCTCAACTCCCTTAACAGAGCTCTCTGTGCCTCTGTCCCAGTCTCCTCCTATTCCACAGTCTGGTCTGTGGCGTGATACATGAGACAGAGAGCAGTAAATCACCAGATAGCAGAGGAAACTGTGCAGCTTGGATTGATCAGCCATGTTATTTTCCCATCTGCTTACAGGGAAATGATTAGCCAGACATGATTGATTCGTGGTTTAATAGCTTAAACCTGGCCTGTCTCCCTCATCTCAACCAAAATACCAACACTGCACTTGTGTTTGCCTGTAAAACTGTAAATCCATGTTTGTTTTTTTAGAGTGAAAAGATGTGTAATTTTACAAAATAAATTAAATCACTTACAGAAAGAAGGAGGATTTTCTTTAATTCGAGATAAAATATAAACACATTCAAATTAAATGACGTTTTTTTACAAAGGTGTATTTCAATGATAGTAGCACACACGTCTTCATTTAGATGTCTACCTCTCAAATATCAGTGCAGAGAATTTCACATGTTGGTCTGTTTCTCAGCAACAGCGTCTCTTGAGACATGTTTGCATTATGGTCATTAGCTATGGTCAGTACGCTTGTGTCTGTGTGTGTACAGAGAGAGAGACATAAACAGGCCAGTCAGTGTCTCTTATAACTGAAGAGCTTCTGTGTGTTTGTTGTGGTGCAGGGTGCCTGTTTGTATTGGCCACACATGTAGATTTGTCTGTTTTTCTGGGTTGTACGTGTGTTGTCTGTACATATATGCATTGTGTGTGTCTGTGTGTGTGTGTGTGTGTGT